GTACCCACATCAATTTTTTCATATATTTTTCATATATACATAAATATATGAAATATATATGGAAAATTGATGTGGGTACTCAAATGAAAGCTCTTGATGATTGTAACATCGTGATGAACTTATATCTTTAAAATCGTCAATAGTTAAGAAATGACATTATATCTTGTCAACTAATCACATTTTTAAAGATATAAGCTCACCCTGACATTACACTCATCGAGACCTTTCATTTGAGTACCCACATCAATTTTTCATATATTTTATATTTTTATATATATGTATATATGAAAAATATATCAAAATGCATGTGGGTACTCAAATGAAAGCTCTTGATGAGTGTAACATTGGGATGAGCTTATATCTTTAAAAACGTCAACAGTTAACAAAGTACAGTGCAGTTTAACAAAAGTCATTGTATAATAAAGCAAAATTTTATTTATTTATAGTTCACAAGTCACGGCAGTCACATAGTGACTGCAAGGTTGCTAGTTATCATTAATCTGATAAAATAAATTTTTAAAATAATAATAATAATAATAAATAACGTACTTCAGATGATGATTGTATTTCATTGAGTGCAGATGAAGTTGCAGCCATTGGACCATAATCGTATTTAAGAACAAGTATTGGAATAAGATCTGATTGCGATGGTAACGCTGATTGACGTGAATATTTAGTAAATAAATTATCTATTGTTTGAAAAACAAATTCACGTAACAATCTCGGGAAACCGTGCGTAATCATTTTCTAAAAAAAAAAAAAAATAATAATTTGTTATTTATAATTAATAAAATAATTTTTTTTTTTTTTATAAAACTTACAGAAAATCGCGATTTCATTTTTAATAAATCAATGTCACGACGCAATGAATAGCGCAATATAGCGCCCAAGTGACTGCAAAATTCATTCAGATGTCGGAGAACTGTCTCAACGGTATCATCAGCTGAAAAAAAAAAAAAATTAATCAACTTGAATAAATTAAAATTGAAAGTAAAATAATTACCGTTGCTAAAAATAGCTTGGATGATAGATTTAATGTGTTTGCGAATTAAATTCTCGACAGTCTGTCTTAAATCTATTGATCTATGGGCAAAAAAGGTGTGATGTATATGAGGCAGGCGAAAGGCTTCGTCTAGGATGATGGTGATTTCCGCAAAGACGTCCTCGATAACTGCATCGGGAATATCGGATTCTTCGCGGTTCTGATAGTGAGCGCGTAGCTTTTCTTGCAATTCTTGCATTACACTTCTCAGAGAACTTGTATCACCGTTTACGATGTTTATCCACGAATGCATTGGTATTTTTCCCTAAATTTATAAAAAAATTGTTATTTAATTTAATTACAAATTAATTATAAAAATAAATAATGATAACAGTAATTACCAAAACGTCGTAAATAATGTAAAAGAGTGCTTGAGTTGATCTAGCAGTTGATAAAATATTATCAGGCATGATATTAATTCCTCGACCTATCAACACTGAATTAAATGACAACGGCCGATCGTCATTACTCATTCTAAATTAAAAATTAAAATAATCCATTAATTTATTTATTATTAATATTGTAAAAAAAAATTATGAGTCAGAAATAAGTAGCCTATCATAAAAATTTAATAAAATGTCTTGTAGTTAAAAATTAATTCTAAATAGGATATAGTGAAAAAAAAATTAATTTTAATTCTTTAAGGAGGTATCGTGAAAAATCACTTTTCTTGCAATATTCTTCAATTTTTGAATACGCGTACTTATACGTGTTCTCTATACGAATAAATTTTTTTTAATAGTCATTGCGGTGCTAATTTTCAAAATATTAGCAATTAAAAATCGTACATTTAACATGTATTCCCTATCCTGACCGTAGTGAGAGTGAACATTTTATTGAATAACAACCTACTTTTCTTAGAATTTTTTTAAAAAACTGAGAATATTTAATTGAAGTTATAACAAGTATTTTTTATCAAAAATAACATCAACGAGCGGTATTCATTTTTTTATAAAAAATGTTTGAAGTTAACGGCTTTCGATATCTTACGTGAGTGGAAGTAAGTGAGCGATAGTCTGTAAAGAGAGACAGCACTAGTGCGTGAGAAAGAAACCAATAGCCATAATCTATTGGTGTCTTTTTCTTGCCGATGAACCTCCTTAAATAGGAATTTTGGAAATAAAAAATTTACTGAAAAAACAGTGAAGAAAAATTTTTTTTGATTCTTTTTTGGGATGAAAAAAAAAAATTTATTTTAATTTTTCAATTTTTCACCGTAAAAATTGTATTTTTGAGAATGATACTTAAAAATTTTTAAAAATTTCAATTATCTAAATTTAAAAGTTTTCAATTATTAAAAAATTAAAAATTTTCATCGAAAACTTAGAAAATAAAATTTTTTTGATTTTTTTTTTTGGTATAAAGAAAAAACTTTATTTTAATTTTTTAATTTTTCACTATAAAAATTTGACTTTTGAGTATAATACTTAAAAATTTTAATTATCTACACTTAAAAATTTCTAATTCAAAAATTCAAAGTAAAAATTCAAAAGTTAAAAATTATTCAAAAATTAAAAAACTAAAAATAAGTAAAAAATTTGAGAAAGTAAAAAATGAGAAAGATACCAATAGCCATAACTTATTGGTGTCTTTTCTTGTCATGATACCTCCTTAAATAAATTAATATTAATAAATAGGTAACTTATTAAAAAATTGTTCAACTTCTGACTCACTAAAAAATAAAACTCACATTGCAGCGTTGTTAAGACTGTCGGCAAGCGGAGTGTTATTAAAAATATTATCAGGATTAATAACTCCAGCGAGAGTGGTCAGCCGAGTCCTAGCAGAAGATCCAGCAGAAGACTGACTGGGTTGACTTCCATCAGCGATTCCCTGTCCAGTTTGCGTAGAGGCCGCAGTGCTGGTAGTAGAACTCTGGCCACGTCTAATATGATGCGAATTGCAAGGTAAGAAAGGATCAAAGTCAACACTGGACGATGAAGCAAGTCCAAGACCGAGAGCTTGAGCGTGTTGAATGACATGAGTCCGGGGAGTCGTGCGAGTTTGTGTCGAGGTCGTGGGGTGAGTTTCCGTGCTTCCGCGAGTTTGGGAACTCTGCCCAGGAGACGGCGTCGTTTCTCCGACAGTAACAGCGACTCCTCGATGACGAAGGCACCCCAGAGAGGTTCCAGTTCCTGGAGTGGTGGTGGGTACCGACTGAGTCACGGGAATAGACGAAGAAGTGACGTTGGTCTGAGCCATGTACCCCGCAACAGCTTGCATCACATTACGGATGATGTCAGGCAAAGGTGGAGGGAAAGCTCCAGGAAAAGCTCCAGCGTTGCCGCTGGTACCAGTGGTGGTGCTTCCGTTGGTCATGTTGCTGCTGCTATTATTATTGTTGTTGTTATTGTTTGCTGTGCTTGCGTTATTGTTGTTATTATTATTATTATTATTATTATTATTATTATTATTATTATTGTTGTTATTGGTGTTGTTACTGCTGCTGCTCTGGTTTTGATCTCCAGTAGAGAAGGTCCAGACTCTTGGAGCCTGCGGTCCCATTTCCATGACGACCTCGACGTTGTTGGAAAAATTGAACATCGAGCTGAGCGAATCGGCAGCAGCTGCTGCGACCGCTGCAGCGGGATTTGTTTCCGCTGGACGTTCTGCCGACGAAGGAGGTGTTGAAGTGTCACTGGTGGTGGTTGGCTCGGCTCTGAGAGTAGAATTCGTTGAAGAATTGGTGGTACTCGCAGTGACATTGGTGGTGCTGGTGGTACTGGCAGCGTCGCTGTCGGAATTAGCGTCCTGGCCGTGAAGATTAATATGAGCCTCGACCTGGATGGGCAAGCCGGCTTGCAGGATTGCCGACGGCTGAATGGTGATCGGTCGGCAACGCAAGGTCCGCGGTGCTGGTTGCTGCATGTTGACATTCAGGTTGCTGAGCGCATGCTGGGCGTGAGATAAAAAGTGGAAGCACTCGTTAACACCGTCTAACATGCGCTGATTTTCCTCCGGTGAAGATGTGGCCTCGGATGTTGGACTCTGGAGAAGACCGCGGATGTAAGGACGAAGACGGTCTTGGGTAGTGAGAAGCTTGTCGAAAACCTCCGCTAGGTCACGAGGAATCAAAGCGTCCGATTGGGTTCCGTTGGTAGAGCTTGACTCGGTGGACGCGGACGGAGTTGAGGTCGACGCACTCGGAGTCGGGGTCGGAGGCTTTGATTCAGTAGCTGCTGACTCGGATGACGAGCTCTCTGCTGCTGGCTCTTGTGGAGCTTGTGAAGGAGTTTGGGAAGTCGAGGATGCACTTTCGGAGTCTGCTGAGCTTGATGGGTTGTCCAGGCGGTCTATTACGCGGTTCGCTTGGTCCAGCATGCGCCGGATCACTGAGACGTGGCGGTTGGTCAATGAAGTGTTCAGTTGGGGAATTGGTAATTCTATAATTTAAATAAAAATTTTATTGGCATGAAAATTATACTGATAGCAGAGATCTGAAAATTTTGAGAATTTTTATATAAAATTAATCGCGATTATTTTATTTTTATTTTTACAAGTGGAATTTTTTCCACAATAATCTAATGATATTAAAGTTAGTAGTCACTTGACCATTTTTAACTTCCTGCTAAGAAAATTAAAAATTTTCAAAAATCGCAAAGTTATTGGTTTTACCCCGTTTTTCGAAAATCGAGTTTTTATCAGATCTCGTCGTTTTGAGGTCTTAGGAAGCTTCCCTGAATGTTTTCGCGATGATGTCTGTATGTGTTTGTATGTATGTATTCATCGCGGTTGACGCCATTCGAAAGGGCTTGACTAGACTTAGATTCTGAATATAATTTGCACCGATTCTAACCGGTAGATTTTGAAAAATCTCAAAAAAACTGCGAAAAAAAATTTTTCAAATGTGATTTTTTTGGAATTACTTTCGAACGGTTTTACCGATCGATTCCAAAAACTAATCAGCTCTTAACATCAAAAAACCACGCCGATTGCCACCAGCCCAGTCGAAATTGGTTGATTCATTCGTGAGTTATCGTTGTCAAAAGAAAACTGAAAAAAGTATTTTTTTGGAATTACTTCGAAGTTCCTAGTTCGATCAATTTAAATTTAAAAATTCTTTAGGAGGCTTTAAAAACTGCGTCAAATGACGCCAACCGCGTGAAAATCGGTTCTTTCATTCAAAAGTTATTGTGGTTTGAAAATTCAAAAAATAGTGTTTTGTTAAACTCCTAGCAGACTATTAAGGGGTTAGGTGGGTTTCAGAGGTTCAAAAAAAGGGTATTTTTACTATTTTTTTTTTTTTTTAGTATACACAATCATATATTTTATTTAAACAATTCAGCATATCAAAGATACATATTCAAACAGTATTTTGTGAAATTTTTATTTAAAATTTCCGAAAATTCATTTTTTCGGATTTTTTTTTTTTTTATTATAACTAATTTTTTCGAGCAAATACATGACGAAAATTTGACCAAAAAATGTGTTTTTTTTGTTCAAAGTCTGTCAAAAATTCAAATTTTTATTTTTTTATTCTCCTTCGTCCAATAACGAGATTTATCCATGTACTCGCGAAATATGTTTGGATTTTTGATTTTAGATGAACCAATAATGAGTTATGCTGCCTACGGCAAGAGCATTTTTTTTTTGGAAACGTCAAGAGAAATGAGGTACCAACGGCTGAGTTTTCGGAATTTTTACATAAAAATTTCACAAAATACTGTTTAAATATGTATCTTTGATATGCTGAATTGTTTAAATAAAATATATGATTGTATATACTAAAAAAAAAAAAAATAGTAAAAATACGCTTTTTTTAAACCTCTGAAACCCACCTAACCCCTTAAGCTCGGAGAGCTCATAATGATGACACGAAAATTATATTTTTGAGCTCTTAAAGTTAAAAACGTAATAAGGGCAATTTTTAGCGCTCAAGTACGCAATTAGCGGGAAATTGCAGGGATGGCCTTTAGGGTCAACCGTTTTCCTAATATTTTTATTCTATTTAATAAATAAATTATTTTAAAAAAATTGTATTTTTAATTTTTAAAAATTTCTACATGCCAATTTTTTTTGCCATAATTTATTTGTGATAAAAATGATTAAAACTTAATAAATATCTGCTAAATTAATTTTCATAATAATTAAATTGATATAAAAATTATCAAATATCTGCAGATTTAAGTATCAAAATAATTAAATCATACCATAACCTTCTAGAACATCAGCAGGGAATGAAACTGAGCTGACGTACATCGGATTTCCGTGAAACTGGGCTTGACGGTAGTGTATCCGAGGCATCGGTGGCCATTCACCGCCCGGGATTGAATTCTGGGTATGGTTTTGGTTACTGTTGCTGCTGCGTTGACTGAGCGATGGTGGGGCTCGTTGGACCAGATGTATAACTTTTCCATTGACATCTAGGACAACATTAGATAAAAGTTAATATTTATTTATCACCGAGCTATCTTATTAAAAAAAAAAAAAAAAACATTGAATTTGTTGACGTACCGTATTCGTTGAGTAATTTTTCATCTTGAAGAACTCGTCCGCAGTAAATAAGTCTTTGAAGAGTGTCGGGAATGTTTACAGTCTCAGCAATATGTTCTTTAAACTGCTTTACTGTTATCTGGTTTTGAAAATTAAAAATATTTATTATTTTAAATTGTTAAAAATAAAAATATGAGTAAAATAAAAAATTTATTAAACAAACGAGTTAATGAAAATTAGTTAACTTACATCATCATTAACTGAAAATGTATGATTTTGTGAATCTAAAGTCTTAACAGTTAGATCAATCATGGTGATAGTTACACAATATTAAAAAATAGTTCAATGCACTTTATTAATTACAAATATATTATTTTGTCCGGTTCTAGATTAAACTGCGTTGTATGAGATTTTATCTATCTATCTATTTAGACAAATATATATATTGATGTGCAATTATATGTATGTGTATATACATATATATATGTCTATATTAGTTTTTTTATAACTTGACTTGAGAGAAATCGATATTTTAGTGTTAAATTAAATAATGAACATTAGGTACTAAAAAAATGAAATATTAAATGAAAATCAGAGGGTTTGTTGGTTACGTTATTATGTGTACGTGAATCTATTCCGGATAACTGATTGCTCACGTATGTATTATAAATGGACAAATTAATCACCACAATTAATGACACACAATTTTGTTACCCAGAATTCATTTTTTTTTTTACGTGAGAAAATATTCTACAATGGCGTTTACATTTTAGCCAACTAGAAAAATTAATGTCACTAGATTTTTGTCTAGTTAAATTTTTATTTTTAAATTGGTAGAGCGACGATCTAGTACTTTTATGATTAAGTAGAATTTTATTCTATCAACAATGTTTTTATTTTTTGTTCATTCTTTTGCGCATCCATCCTGATAGCCAAACCGGTCGCAACTTTCCGTTGATTTGCTGCAGCAACTTGTCACCAAGTTGGCGGCAAGTCTTTGTTCACCAAGTTGTCAAGTTGTCGGCAGAAATTGCTTTCGAAACTCTTTCGCACCAAGTTGACGACAAGTTTCTCGAGAAATTTGGCGACATATTGCGGCAGTAGATTGGTCTTGTTTTTTTCAGAAACTTGTAGCCAACTTGGCGCCAACAGTTTCAAATTCGGAAGTTGACCGCAAGTTGTCGGTAAGTTGGTGGCAACTATCTGACACCAACTTGGTTGGTCTGAAACTGTAGCTATCAGGGATATTCTTTTGCGCATCCAGTTTTCTCCGATTTTGGCGATTAAATTTTTATTAACTAATTTTGAAGACAAAATTCAATGGATCCTATAAAAATATTTTGATTATATAGGTGAGTTGATGCAATAATAAATATAATATATTTTGTTTTTTTTAAATGCAAATTTATTTTATTTAATTCAGAAAGCAAATTGGTCCAAAATTTGTGTACATATAATAATACTGAAGTTAGCCGTCAGCTGTTAATTTAAAAAATTTTTTTTAACAAAACAACAATAAAAAAATTATTCTAAAAATTTTCACTTGTAATTTTTAATAATTTTTACATGTGGAATTTTTCAATTAAATTTTTTTTATAATAATTTAATTGTAATAAAGTTCTAAAAAAATTTCTTATGTCTCTCAACGTCAGTGTCATTTTACATATACATGAAAATAAAGTTAGCCGACATCTAAAAATTTTTATGATTTTTTCTATTAAAGAATTATTACAAAAAAACTAAAAAAAATTTTTTTTCATTTGTTGTTAAAGTTCAAAAACTATAAGTGCAATTTTTTAAAAATATTTTTTAGTTAAAATTTAATAAATTAAGCAAAATAAAAAAAGTCAAAAATGTCAGCTAACTTCATTATTATTATATATACTTATATAATAGATTATTGATGAAGTCTATGGAAAAAAGTAATTATGACAATTAGAAATTCATTAAATATAATTGACATCTGTTTCTGAAGATAATTCAAATGTGATTAAAATTTATTTAATAATTTTGACAGCTGCTTTCTGTTACTAAATATTATGATGCGGAAGTTAGCTGACAATTGTCAACTTTTAAAATTTTTATAAAAAATCAATTAGAGTAAAAAAATGCTGTGAAAAATCTCCACTAATAATTTTTTTTATTAATTTTTATTAATTTCAAAGATTTTCTATAAAATTATAAAAAAATTTATTATATCAGTTAGCTGCAGTATCTTCAAATATTACTTAATTTTTTCTGCTATCACAAAAGAAAAAATTCAAATTCCAATGAGTTAGCCTATTAAAAACTGTGATTGGTTTACGTCATTAGGAATTTAAAGTTTAATTAGCATGCCAAGTAAAAACAATGTCAGCAATGTCAATTGAATTGATTCTGGCCACAGCAGCTTCCGCTGCAACTACAACTGCAACCGCCGCCACAATTACAACTAACACTACATGGTGCGTCGGGATTGCTATCTTCATGATAATTTATGTTTTCACGAAAAAGTCCCACATGAGAAAATACCTGAAAAAATAATTATGTTGAATGAAATTCAAGATAGAATTTAAAAGGTAATTAATTAAAAAAAACTTACTGATTGGACAGTAATTGCCAATACCAAAGCAACTATAGCCGGAGCTCCCATTATTCTTCTTAGCTTATTAAATTCTGAGAGAAATTCCAGTACTATAAAAAATTCGCAGATTCTCCGTCTTTTTATACTACTAGAATCTAATATGCGCGCGCAAGCGCGCGCCTGAATATTGAGTTTGCATATATTTCCATGCTTATGATATATTCGATCAATCACATCACGAATAAATTAATGCTACATACATTTCATCTCAATTTTATCATAGGATCTCTGAGTAATAAATTTTTTTGTTTTTCAATAGAAAAATACCGGGCTAAACTTATTTTTATCCAATATATTAACAATCACCATCTTATTTTGATTTTTGCGCTAGTTTTATCAAAAAAATAAAGATATATAGATTGTTATGTTTGATTGAGTTATCCACAGATTCGGTAGAATCTGGCGCCAAGTTCCGTTCAAATCCGTTGTAAACGGAGCGCCAGACTACCGAGTGTGTTTACTGTAAGCAGAACGGTATTTCGAGGTTGCAAAATTTTATTTAATTCTACGGTAATTTTTTTTCCTTAATTTTATATTATAACAGTAATTCATACTTTATTTTACTGATATTAATTAATTATATTTAATTATAACAATTAATCTCCTTGAAATTATTAAATTTAATCAGCACAAACTATAGCAACGCCAAAATTTCGATCCTGACTTTTTTTCGATGGGCAAAGTGATCTGCCACAGACTACATAATTCGATAGTGCATGGTAATCCTCCGATAGATAGGAAACTACAGTTAGAAAAATACATTTCACAGCTTGCATCTACACCCGCCAGGGTGCGCTGGAATTATTTTTATATAAACTGTAGCTTCAAAGGAATAGTTTGCTATAAAAATGCAGCCAACGCGAGATTTAAATTTGTACTAATTGTAAATTTTTATTATAATTACAAAAAATACTAAAATCCGAACAAAAAACAGTTTCACTGTAAAAAAAAAAATCGCGCCAAGTCCACGTTCATAAAGACTATTAAGAAAAAAAAATTAGTTTTTTCTTTACAAAAAGATAAAAAATAAAAAAATTAAAAAATCCTCGTAACCGATATAATTGTTTATGATTTTCGGAAATTAAAAAAAATTTGTTGTAAATTTAAAAATTAAAAAAAAAAATTTTGGAACGTACTTGGTGTGCGCGGTTGCAAAATATTTTACTCTTAATTAAATTCGTAAAATCTATTTAATAGGACTTTAAAAAAATTGAAATGCACAATATATGACGCACACCAAGTACGTTCCAAAATTGTTTTTTTAATTTTTAAATTTACAAAAAAATTTTTTTTAATTTCCGAAAATCATAAACAATCATATATCGGTTACTTGGATTTTTTAATTTTTTAATTTTATATCTTTTTGTAAAGAAAAAAAAAATTTTTTTTTCTTAATAGTCTTATGAACGTGGACTTGGCGCGTTTTTTTTACAGTGAAACTGTTTTTGTTCGGATTAATGATTTCAGCTAAACGAAAAAATATTAAAAGTTATCTATAGTTAATTAAATAATTAAAAAATTAAATAAAGTATAAATTGGAAAAATCAAGACTATAATTATTATAAAAAATAAAATATGTATTGTTTTTTTAGATGCCAATTTATTTATTCTAAAAAACAGATTAATTAATATTTGCATACATAATGGATGATTTAGAAAGTATGAAGAAGGATGTTTACAGATTCGGTAGAATCTGGCGCCAAATACCGTTCAAAACCCGTATGGGACGGGTACGCCAGACTACCGAGTATGTATACCGTAAGCAAAACTGTTTTTTGATGAAGCTATTAAATTTTATTTCATTTATAATTATAATTTTTTATTACATTTTTTTTGACATTATTTCAAGGTCTCTAATTATTCGTTAATCAATCGTTAACAACTGATTTCATTACGAATTCTTTATAAAATTATCGATAATATGCAGCATAATCTATAGCAACATAAAATTTTAGATCTTGAAATTTTTCGCTGCTGAAAACGGACAGCGTTAAAAAATTGGATATGCTAACATGCACTATACATTGTATGTAATAAATATAAATTAAAATCTCAAAAGGGCTCACACACATGTTGATGGACGACAGTGCTTTGCCTACAATTATTCTTCTATTTATTTACTTTTAATTTTCGGAAAAAAAAATTAAAATTGTCAATTATTATTATAATTACAAAAAACACTAAAATCCGAACAAAAAAAATCGCGCCAAGCCCACGTTCACAAAAGGATTAAAAAAAATTTTAATAGTCTTATTGTTATTTAGTAATAAATATAAATTATTATTTAATAATAATTATGTGCATGGTTGCAGAATATTTAACTTTTTATGAAATTCGTGATATCTATCTAATAGGACTTGAAAAAATTTGAAGTACACAATTACGCACACCAAATACGTTCCAAAATTGTTTCTTTCAATTTTTAAATTTACAACAAAATTTTTTTAAATTTCCGAAAATCATATACAATCATATCGATTACTTGGACTTTTTTTTGCACACCTCATAGCGCGAAGTGCGTGAGGTTGTGCTTTATACTCGATTCGTCAAGGTCTAACAATTTTGTGATCTTTAAATGCCTCTATCACATCCATATTACACTTATACAATAATATAAGTAGATGTACACCGAGAAAACATTTAAATTAAACTATATTTTACTTACAAAAATCATTTTATGTTGCTATTTAAAAAAAAAAAAATGTTTCGAAAAAAATTTTACGTGGACGTCTTGGTGTCACCTCATTTTGGATGTACGAATGATTACTCTCGAACAAATTGATATTTCGAGACCGGGTTTTTTTTATTAGTTTAAGAATGCGATGAACTAGGACCGTATTTGATATCAGTAGTCTACTTTACGTATTTTTTTTGTAAATTGAATTTTTATCGAAATACACATGTACAAAAACAAACGAATTTTTCTTATTTCTGTCACAAGAAAACTATGGGGCCACTTGATCAAGCTAGATTTTTTTAAACTGCGTGCGCATATGTGACAGGAAAAACGGGTGCCGATATTTAAAAAAAATAAAAAATACTCTGTAAAAAATTATTTAATTATTATTTTTGTTTTATTTAATCAATTACATAATTTATTTTTTTCTTATGCAATGATTTAGTGTTATGAGGCGTGCACTTTTGGATTTTCCAAACTTTTTTTTATTTTATATCATTTTGTAAAAGAAAATTTTTTTTTTTTTTAATAGTCTTGTGAACGTGAGCTTGGCTCGATTCTTTATAGTGAAACTGTTTTTGTTCGGATAATTATTACTGAATTAAACTCACAAGTAATAATCTATTTTATAAAATGCTTAAAAAAAAATCCACTAATAATGATTTTTTAATTTTACATGTGGAATTTTTTAATTAAATTTTTTTTTATAATAACTGCATAGCCATAAAATTACAAAAAAACTTATAAGGTCAGTTACTTTCAGTGTCTTAAAATATTACTTAATTTATACTGCTGTTGCAAAAAAAATATTCAAATCCAAATGAGTTAGCCTATGTCAAATTAGACTGAAAATCAAAAAAGTTTAGAAGACTTGCAGCCAAAGAAAACTGTGATTAGTTTACAAGACATTATAAACTTGAGGTTCAATTTGCATGCCAATTAAATCTTCTTCATCAATGTAAGTGTAATTGAATCTGCCATGGCAGCAGCAGCTGCAGCTGTGACAACAGCCATCACTATTACAGCAGTCTCCGCTGCAACTACAGCTACAACCGGGGGCACAAGTACAACTAACACTACATGATTTGACGGGATGGCTTTCTTCATAGAATTTTACTTCAACTTCTGATTGTTGCTCGACTTTTTTATTTTGTCCAAAACTAAAGCTTGATGAACCATGATAAAAATTGGAACCACTCACAGGTGATTCCTTTGCTGAGTTTTCCTTATTAATATCATCAACTTTGATGTTGGAGGTGTGCTCGGGATTTTTGTCTTGTTCAATTACACCTTCACGAGACAATCCCACATGAGAATATACCTGAAAAAATTACCATGCTGATTAAAATTAATTTAAAGATAGAATTCAAAAGGTAATCAATTAAAAAAACTTACTAATTGGGCAGTAATTGCCATTACAAAAACAAAAATAACCATAGCTCCCATTATTCTTCTTAGTTTCTTAAATTCTGAGAGAAAATTAGTACTGTAAAAAATTCAGAGATTCCCCGTCTTTTTATACTACCTCTGAGTAATCAAGTTATTTGTTTTTCAATAAAAAATAACCGGGTTAAACTTATTTTTATCCGATATATTATTAATCATCATCTTATTTTTATTATTGCGCTGGTTTATCAAAAAAATGAAGATAGATAGATTGTTATGTCTGATTGACTCATTAATGATTTCAGCTTAACCAAACACATTAAAAGTTGTTATCTATAGTTAATTAAATAATTAAAAAATTAGATAAAGTATAAATTGAAAAAAAGAAGACTAATTATTATAAAAAATAAAAAAAATATATATTGTTTTATTAGATGCGAATTTATTTCTTCTTAAAAGCAGATTAATCTATATTTGCATACATATTGGATAATTTAGAAAGTTTGAAAAAGAATATAATTATTACTGAATTGAATTCAAAAGTTATTTCAATCTATTTAATAAAGTGCTTTAAAAAATTGCCACTAATAAATATTTTTTAATTTTGCATGTGGAATTTTTTTATTAAATTTTTTTTATAATAACTTCATAGCTATAATCTTATAAAAAAATCTATAACAACAGTTAACTTCAGTGTCTTTGAAAATCACTTAATTTTTTCTGCTATTGCAAAAAAAAATATTCAAATCCAAATGAGTTAGCCTATGTCAAATTAGTCTGAAAGTCAAAAAAGTTTATCAGACTTCCAGCCATTGAAAACTGTGATTGATTTACAAGTTATTATAAATTTGAGGTTTAATTTGCATGCCAATTAAGTCTTCTTCAGCAATGCCAGTGTAATTGCTGATTCTGCCATGGCAGCAGCAGCTGCAGGTGTGACAGCAGCCGCCACTATTACAGCAGTCTCCGCTGCAACTACAGCTACAAGAGTTAGGGCCACAATAACAACTAACACTACAATGTTTGGCGGGATGTCTTTTTTTATGAAATTTTACTTCAACTTCTGATTGTTGCTCGACTTTTATATTTTCTCCAACACCAAAGTTTGATAAACCATGGTAAAAATGGGAACCACTCACAGGTGATGCCTTTGCTGAGTTTTCCTTATTAATATCAACTTCGATGTTTGAGGTGTGCTCAGGATTTTGGTCTTGTTCAATTACACCTTCACGAGACAATCCCACATGAGAATATATCTGAAATAATAATTAATATAATTATGTTAAATGAAATTCAAGATATAATTCAAAAGGTAATTAATTAAAAACATTTGCTGATTGGGCAGTAATTGCCATTACAAAAACAAAAATTACCGTAGCTCCCATTATTCTTCTTAGCTTTTTAAATTCTGAGAGACAATCAGTAGTATAAAAAATTCGTAGATTTTCCGCCTTTTTATACTACCTCTGAGTATTAAAATTATTTGTTTTTCAACGGAAGATTACCAGGTTAAACTTATTTTTATCCGATATATTATCAATCATCATCTTACTTTTATTATTTCGCTGATTTGTAAAAAAAAATAAACACGAATAGATTGTTATGTCCGATTGACTTATAAATGATTTCGGCCAAACGAAAATACTCAAAGTAGTTATCTATAGTTAATTAAATAATTAAAAAATTAGATAAAGTATAAATTCAAAAAACCAACCACTAATTATTATGAAAAATTAAATACATATTGTTTTATTAGATGCCAATTTATTTATTCTTAAAAATAGATTAATCGATATTTGCATACATAATGGATAATTTAAAAAGTTTAAAGAAGAATAAAATTATTACTGAATTCAATTCAAAAATTATTTCAATCTATTTAATAAAAAGCTTTAAAAAATTTCCATTAATAATTATTTTTTATTTTTACATGTGGAATTTTTTTTATAATTACTTCATAGCTATAAAATTATAAAAAAATTTATAACCTCAGTTAACTCCAATGTCTTTGAATATGACTTAATTTTTTCTGCTGTTGCGAAAAAAATATTCAAATCTAAATTAGTTATCTCAAAGCTGTTATCTATAGTTAATTAAATAATTAAAAAATTAAATAAAGTATAAATTGGAAAAACCAAGACTAATTAGTATAAAAAATAAAATATTCCTCGCGGTTTTTGAAATTCTGTACATTTTCGGTATTAAAGCGCTTACCATAAATTTGACGTTATAATTCTGAAATAGTACGGTATTTCTATGGTTATATTGGCCAGTTTTCTTACTATAGTTATACAGCATTTCTACCGTACTTTTGCTGCAAAGTTGTTGCAGGAACAATACGTTAAAATTACTGTAAAACTCTAGAACTTTTACCGTAAAAAATCTATATATTAACTATAATTTTACAATAATAAAATCGTATTTCTACGGTAAAAATACCGAAGATATACTGCAATTTAGCCGCGTTTATACTGATATAATTAAATACATAATGCTCTTTACCGTAAGATGGACAGTGGTGTTTATTACTCGGTGGATCTTATTAGGTGACTAAATAAGTAGTTTCAAATACTGTCTCAGATAGCCTAAATGGTAGAGTCTTTGGCACGTAACCAAATTATCCGGGTTCGTGCCCCGGTCTGGGCTAAAAAAAATTATAATAATGATAATAATGAAGTTAGAAATATTTAGAAATAATAATAAAGAAATTAATTTATTGACCTCATAAAAATTATTCTTCATAATTTATAATATAATACAAAAAAATTTTAAGCAATGGAATAATAGTAGTTAAAGCAGGATAATTTTCGTCTTTTACCGGAAATATAATAGTAGGGATCTTCTTTTCCGGTTTTTTTGCTGCAATAGTGCCGCAAGTATACAGTAAATATGCGGTCCATTTACGGTTTGAATGCTGTTAATATACCATAATTTTCCTATTGTATTGCCGTAAATATTCTGAATTTATTTCGTAATGTTTTTGTAATAATTCGACAAAAAAACTGGCTAAAATAACTGAAGTATTACGGTAAACATACAGCATTTATATCGCATAAATACCGAATCTTTCCGGCATTTCTAAATCGTAAGGGATATATTGTTTTTTTATATGCCAATTTATTTATTCTCAAAAGCAGATTAATCAAGATTTGCATACATAATGGATAATTTAGAAAGTTTAAAGAAGAATATAAACATTACTGAATTGAACTCAAAAGTGATTTCAATCTATTTAATAAAATGTTTTAAAAAATTTCCACTAATAATTATTTTTTAATTTTACATGTAGAATTTTTTTATTAAATTTTTTTTATAATAACTTCATATCTTTAAAATTATAAAAAAAATTTATAACGTCAGTTAATTTCAATGTCTTTAAATATTACTTAACTTTTTCTGCTGTTGCAAAAAAAATATTCAAATCCAAATGAGTTAGCCTATGTCAAATTAGTCTGAAAATCAAAAAAGTTTATCAGACTTCCAGCCATTGAAAACTGTGATTGGTTTACAAGACATTATAAACTTGAGGTTTATTTAGCATGCCAATTAAATCTTCTTTAGCAATGTGAGTGTAATTGATTCTGCCATGGCAGCAGCAGCTGCAGATGGCACAGCAGCTGCTACAGCAGTCTCCGTTGCATTTACAAGAACAAGAGTTGGGACCACAATAACAATCAACATTACATGTTTTAGCGGGATGGCCTTCTTCTTTAAGTTTTACTTCAACTCCTGATTGTTCCTGGACTTTTTTACTTTGTCCAAAACCAAAACTTGATAAACCATGATAAAAATGATAATCTCTAACAGGTGATTCCTTTGCTGAATTTTCCTTATTGATATCAACTTTGATGATGGAGGTGTCCTCTGGATTTTTGTCATGTTCAATTACACTTTCACGAGACAGTCCCACATGAGAATATATCTGAAAAAATAATAATGTTGAATGAAATTCCAGATATAATTCAAAAGGTAATTGAAAATTAATTAAAAAAATTTACTGATTGGGCCGTAATTGCCAACACAAAAACAAAAATAACCGGAGCTCCCATTATTCTTCTTAGCTTATTAAATTCTGAGACAAAATCAGTACTGTAAAAATTCATAGATTCCCCGTCTTTTTATACTACCTCTAAGTAATGAAGTTATTTGTTTTTCAATGGAATGTAACCGGGTTAAGCTTTTTTTATCCGATATACTATCAATCATCGTCTCACTTTTATTATTGCGCTGGTTTATCAAAAAAATTAAGATTAATAGATTGTTATGTCTGATTGACTCACAAATGATTTCGGCTAAACGAAAATACTAAAAGTTGTTATCTATAGTTGATTAAATAATTAAAAAATTAAATAAAGTATGAATTGAAAAAAAAGAAGACTAATTATTATAAAAATTAAAATATATATTGTTTTTTTTTAGATGCCAATTTATTTATTCTCTAAAGCAAATTCATCGATATTTGCATTCATAATGGATAATTTTAAAAGTCTAAAGAAGAACATAATTAGTACTGAATTGAACTCAAAAGTTATTTCAATCTATTTCCTAAAAAGCTTTAAAAAATATCCATTAATAATCATTTTTTAATTTTATATGTGGAATTTTTTTATTATATTTTTTTATAATAACTCCATGGCTATAATTTTATAAAAAAATGTATGACGACAGTTAACTGCTATGTCTTTGAATATTACTTAATTTATTCTGCTGTTGCAAAAAAAAATATTCAAATCCAAATGAGTTAGCCTATGTCAAATTAGTCTGAAAATCAAAAAAGTTTATCAGACTTCCAGCCATTGAAAACTGTGATTTGTTTGCAAGTCATTAGAAATTAAAAATTTAATTTGTAAGCCAATTAAATCTTCGTCAGCAATGTCAGTGTAATTTACTCTGCCATGGCAGCAGCAGCTGCAGGTGTGACAGCAGCCGCCCCTATTACAGCAGTCTCCGTTGCAACTACAACCACAAGAGTTGGGGCCACAATAACAACTAACACTACAATGTTTGGCGGAATGGCTTTCTTTATAAAATTTTACTTCAACTTCTGATTGTTGCTTGACTTTTTTATTATGTCCAAAACCAAAGATTGATGAACCATGGTACAAATGGGAATTACTCACAAGTGATTCCTTTGCTGAGTTTTCCTTATTAATATCAACTCCGATGTTTGAGGTGTGCTCAGGATTTTTGTCTTGTTCAATTATACCTTCACGAGACAATCCCACATAAGTATATATCTGAAAAAATAATTATGTTGAATGAAATTCAAGATATAATTCAAAAGCTAATTAATTAAAAAAACTTACTGATTGGGCAGTAATTGCCAATACAAAAACAAAAATAGCCGCAGCTCCCATTATTCTTCTTAGCTTATTAAATTCTGAGACAAAATCAGTACTATCAAAATTTATAGATTCCCCGTTTTTTTATACTACCTCTGAGTAATTAACTTATTTATTTTTCAATGGAAAATTACCGGGTTAAACTTATTTTTATCCGATATATTATCAATCATCTTTTCACTTTTATTATTGCGATGGTTTATCAAAAAATGAAGATGGATAGATTGTTATGTCTGATTGACTCGTAAATGATTTTAGCTGAACGAAAATACTAAAAGTTGTTATATTTAGTTAATTTAATTATTAAAAAATTAAATAATGTATAAATTAGAAAAACCAAGACTAGTTATTATAGAAAATAAAATACACATTGTTTTTTTAGATGCCAATTTATTTATTCTTAAAAGCAGATTAATCAATTTTTTCATACATAATAGATAATTTAGAGTCTAGAAAAGAATATAATTATTGTTGAACTGAACTTAGAAGTTATTTCAATTTATTTAAAAATTTTGATAGTTGCATTTTGTTATTAAATATTACTCAATTTTTCTGCAATTACGCAGAAAAAATATTCAAATCCAAATACGTTAGCCTATGTCAAAACCATTAACCTGAGAATCAAAAAGGTTCATCAGATTTTTAACTATAGAAAACTGTGATTGGTTTATGAGCCATTAAAAATTTAAGGTTTAACTCTTATATCAATTACACCTTCTCCAGAGTTGCCACTGTTTTCAAGGTTGCCGATGTGGCTACTGCTCATGCTTTGATGGAATTTACTTGAGCTGTGAGATGATTTGAGGTGGGAAGAAGAGATGTGTGAAGATGAACTGTCAGAAGAATGACTATCGTGTTGGACAGATGATTGAGAGTGGTTCGCTAAAGATGAGCTTTTTTGATGGTGGCTTATTTCAACTTTCGATTGTTTCTCCACTTTTTTATCAAATCCGAAATCCGAATTCCATAAACCCTGTTTAAGATGGGTACTACTCTCAGATGATTCACTGTGGTGCGATGTTTTTCCTACATTTAACATCTCTTTGGTGACTTCTATTTGTCCGGTCGAGTCGTGTACATTTGCGTGTTGCCCAACTCCAACAATTGAGGAATATTCACTGCCATGACTAAGACTTAAAGATGATTCTTCACTGACTGATTCCTTTGCTGAGTTTTGGTTATTAACACCGACTTTGATGTTAGGGGTGTGGTCATCTTTATTTGCAATGATTAGCGAGTTCTTATTCCCAGTCACAGATGATCCTACGTTAATTGATCCTTCCTCTGAACTTTCTCTGTTAATATTTATGTGTCCGTTAGAATTCTGTTCAATTTTATTATGACTATCATGTCCTACTGGCTTTTCAAATCCGAAAAGAATTTCTCCTGCTTTGTGGAATCCAAAAATTTTGTTGAGCCCACTTCCTTCAGAATCTTTTCCTTTACCGAATTGTACTTGGCTTTGAACTTGATTGTCTCCAAATTGACTTTGAGTTTGACTTTGACCTCTTACAGAACCATGCTCAGAATTGACTTTTGAATTCTGACTTAGAATATTGCGTACATTTTCACTATCTTGCCCATGGAGTTTAAAATCGTAATCATTTGTCATTTCTTCAGAATGTCCAGTTACTTGACTCCAATCAGATTTAATACTTCCTTGACTGTTGTGTACAGTTCCACTACTTTGATCAGTGATTATCGGATTGTAATCATTAGTTTTATGTTCGGAACTTCCAATTACATGGCTTGACCCAGATTGTGCAACTCCTTCCTCAAACTTAATATTTGCATTTTTATCATGGCTGCCGTGTACCTTTTCTCTATTTTTATCTTTAATTACCACAATAATATCACCCTGTTGAGAACCATCAATTACTATGTGGTCATAATTAGAATCAATTCCGTGTTGCCCAAAATGATTATTTTGATTTCTATCATTGCTTTTGTCTACATTTCCATCATTTTGATCCTTAATTACTACAATAATATCACCTGCCTGTTTAGAACCTTTAACTTTTCCGTGAACATAATCAGGTTCTCCCCTTCCTTGCTGCCCAAAATGACCATTTGAATCGACATGGCCAATGTGTACATTATTACCTTTTTTACCCTCAGTATTTAATTCATAATTAATACCATCTGTCTGATGTACAGAATGTCCTGCTATTTGGCCTAAATTAGATTCCCAACTTCCTTGCTGTCCAATATCATCATTTGAATCGACATGGCCAGTGTGTACATTTTCACCTTTTTGAATCTGAGTATTTAAGTCGTAAATAATTCCACCTGTCTGATGTGCAGAATGTCCAGTTGTTTGGCCTAAATTAGATTCCTCAATTCCATGTTGCTGAACATCAATTTTTGATTGCCCAGTACTGCTGATGTGTACATTTCCGCTTTTTTTATCCTCATTTACCAAAAAAATATCACCTATCTGACCATGACCAGATTGTTCAAATCCTTGTTGCCCAGAAGCAACATTTGGATTGTCGACATGGCCAGTGTGTACATGGCCAGAATGCCCGGTTAGTTGGCCTGAACCAGATTGTTGAAATCTTTGTTGCCCAAAACCACCATTTGGATTGTCGACATGGCCAGTGTGTACATGGCCAGAATACCCGGTTAGTTGGCCTGAACCAGATTGTTGAAATCCATATTGTTCAAAACCAACATTTGGATTGTCGACATGGCCAGTGTGTACATGGCCAGAATGCCCGGTTAGTTGGCCTGAACCAGATTGTTGAAATCCATGTTGTTCAAAACCAACATTTGGATTGTCGACATGGCCAGTGTGTACATTTTCACTTTTTTGACCCTGAGTATTTAATTCATAAATTATACCACCTGTCTGATGTGCAGAATGTCCAGTTGTTTGGCCTAAATTAGATTCCTCAATTCCATGTTGCTGAACATCAATTATTGATTGTCCAGTACTGCTGATGTGTACATTTCCGCTTTTTTTATCCTGATTTACCAAAAAAATATCACCTATCTGATCATGACCAGATTGTTGAAATCCTTGTTGCCCAAAAGCAACATTTGAATTGTCGACATGGCCAGTGTGTACATGGCCAGAATGCCCGGGTAGTTGGCCTAAGCCAGATTGTTGAAATCCATGTTCAAAACCAATATTTGAATTTTCGACATGGCCAGAATGCCCGGTTAATTGGCCTGAACCAGATTGTTGAAATCCATGTTGTTCGAAATGACTACTTGAACTATCAAGATGGGTATTTTGTTCAGAAGAATGCTTTTCATAATGTCCTAAATTCTGAATTAAATTCCCTTGTGTTCCAATTTCATATCCGCCGTTTTGGTGCAAATGACCTTCATTGTGAATACTTTGTTGATCTTGCGCATAACCACCTTGACCTTCAATATTAATGGATCCTCCTCCATGACCAGTCGTAGTAATTTCTCCTTGACTACCACCAATACTTGCTGATCCTGATTTTTCAAAGCCCCATTTATTACCACCAAGGCTGATCATTCCTTCTTTTTGAATGCTGATTCCATTTCCGTGACCAGCATTAACCTTTAATGATTTGTCAACTTTAACTTTTCCTAAGATGCCTCCAAGAAATCCACCAATATCAAGCGACTTTTCTGCACTTAGTCCCAAATTCAGCCCCAGATAAGAATGAGCCTGAAGAAATAATTGATGACAAATAATTAAATTCAAAAAGTTTGAAAAAATAATTAATGTTTTAAAAAACTTACCGATTGGACAGTAATTGCCAATACAAGAGCAACAACAGTTGTAGTTCTCATTATTTTTCTTAGATTATTAATTCTAAGAGAAAATAAGTACTATATAAAAAATCACAGATTCTCCGTCTTTTTATACTGACTCCAAGCAATTAAATTTTTTATTTTTCAATGGAAAATTACTATCAAACTTATTAATTGTCTTTTATAGTAGTATAAATTTATTGAACTTTAACGATTAAATTTTTAGTAATTAAAAAAAAAGTCAGTAATAAAACCTTCAAAAATAGTTTTATAAGCTTATTGCCCAAAATATATCATTAATTATCATTTAATTCTCAGTATTGGGCGGGCTTATAAAAAAAAGAAGATATAAAAATAGTTTAAAGTCTAATTGTTATTAACAGTTTATTTAATAATTAAAAAATTTATTTAAGTATAGGTTGGAATAACCAGAAGTGGTAATTAAATCTTGAAGTATTTTTATTTTTATTGCATTATAATAGAGCGATACATTAGTTATCCACGTGATTGGAATATTAATTTATTTAAAGAATCCAAAACCTCCCAAGGGTCCGTTTTTTTGGCTATTACTCTTGCTCATCTGTCCCATAAATTTTGAGCCGAATTGCGGAAAAGAATTTCCTATTTTCATTCCTGTATCAGCTATATTTTTAAAGACATCACCTTGGGCTTTTCCGACGTTCATCATTGAGTTCATGGTTTTTTTTATAGTTTCGTTGTTTTCTTCGAAAGTTTTACCCATATTTGGTTGCTTTTAATAAAAATTTTTAATTATTCCAAGTACTAATTATTACACATTATTTTCCATAAATTAAATGATTTTTATGAAAATTAATTTAGCAGATATTTGATAATTTTTTTAACAAATAATTTATGGAAAAAATTGATTTGTAGAAATTTAAAAAAATTGAAAATGAATTTTTAGAATAAATTTAATTGTTAAAAAAATTAAAAAATAATCAAGTGACTGCTAATTATAATGTCATATTTTATGAAATTTAATTTAGCAGATATTTGATAATTTTTTTTAACAAATAAATTTAGAAAAAAAATTTACATGTAGAAATTTTAAAAAATAAAAAATGCAATTTTTTTAAAATAATTTTTTGAAATAAATTTAATTGTTAAAAAAAAATTAAAAAATGATCAAGTGATCCCTGTTTAAAAATATATTCATTGAAAAAAATTCACTATCATGAGATTTGAATGTTTTTTAATACTTAATTTCAATTGATTTTAATTTTTCAGTATATATTTATAGATATAATTTTCATAGAACGAATTATTTTAATTTTTTTCAATGAATATTTTTAAACAGGGATTGCTGACTTCAATGTTATTTTTTACCTGTTGCTGATTTTGATCATTGGGTGAATTAGTTGCGTTGACATTTTGAGAAGTTGAACTGTCATTTTGTGCCTGTTGTTCCAAACAGCATTAAATTAAAAATTTAAATAATCATTAATTACAAATAAAATTTTCGAATCATCTTACCGGAGAGTTCTCTGCAATTGGATTGAACTGATTGAATATCGAAGACTGGCCATGCGAAAATCCGACGGTCAGAAGAACGACGAGACAAATAATTTGAGGATTCATCTTGAGCGCAGTTGATAATATTTTGTATTATCCGGAGTAATATTTTTATGTAATTATATGAGTCTGTAGGTATTGATACTGATCTGAATTTCGCAGGCTTATATATCCATATCTGATTCCACAAATGGTTTTTATCGAGCAAATAATGAAGAAACTAGAACGCACTTGTTTATACGCTCACGCCAATATATTTTTCATCCTTCAGTGTGTCATGACTTGTAAAACAATTTAAAGTGACGCTTTTATTGTCTGGAAACATCCTGGCAGAAGGTAGCACTGGTTAACAATTGAAATGTCCAATAATTTATTGATTATTGCAATAATTTATGGATTGATAAAAAGAATTTTTTACGACAGTAAATTTACGCGTGACTAGATCATTTTTTTAATTTATTTAATAAAAAAAATTGTTCCAAAAAAATAGAATTTTATATTTTTAAAAATTTTTAAATGTCAATTTTTTTTGCTATAATTTATTTGTTAAAAAAATTATAAACTATCTGTTAAATTAATTTTGATTTTTTTATGACATTAAAGTAACTACTTGATCATTTTTTAATTTTTTGTAACGATTAAATTTATTCTGAAAAGTTATTTTTAAAAAATTGCATTTTTTATTTTTTTTTAAATTTTTACATGTCAATTTTTTTAAATTATTTTTTTTGCCATAATTTATTTGTTAAAAAAATTCTTAAAATTATAAACTATCTACAAAATTAATTTTCAAAATTTTTCCTAAGTCATTTTTACGGAATGCGTTTATTACGGAATGTTAGTCATGAATAAAAATGCTTTGTTAAAAGACAGAATAAGGATGAACCATAACGTCGCGAGACATAGAGACAATAATCGGACTGATACACTTCTGGCGCCGATCCCACGAACTTCAATTCTTCAACACTCCTTTTTGATTCTGGGAACTTCCTTTTGGAATTCCTTGCCGCCATCAATAACAGCAGCTGAATCACTAGCAATATTTAAAACAAATTGTTATAAACACTTATTAGCTATTGAGCGTGCCGATCTCTAAGTGTGTATTTTTGACCTAGTGCAATTTAGTTATTTGCTATCCTGTGCAATATGGCATAAGACTAGAAGTAGACTGTTTTTGTTTTTGCATTATTATTAATTTTCAATAGTTAAATTTATATTACTGTGATAAAATTGACGTTGAGAGACCTATCAATATTAACATTAACATTATAAGAATCTATTCTGTTTGTTTAATAATAGCTCATGAACACTTTTTGATTTTTTACTTTGATATTATATTAATTTGTACTTAATTTTAAGGTATTATGTATGCTCTGTATATGCTTTTGGCCGTTAGAGGACTACGTCCTACGGCCTTTTCAATAAATTACAATTACAATTAATTTTACTTTTGTTTAAAAATAAAATAACAAAATATATTTCATTTTCTTTAATATAAAAATTTATTTTGTTTTAAATCTGTCAAGAATTATTTTGTTTTTAAAAATTCCCGCGCTAGGCGCGCTGCGGTTGGTTTCTATTTCTAGCGGCAAAAAAGTAACTAGACTAGAGATATTTTTGCTGTTAAAATTGACACATTCAAAAAAAAGTACGTTAGTTTTTTTTTGTGTTTATGATTTATATTTATATGTTTTCGGCTTTTGCTAAAAGTTATTAAAATAATAAATATTTACTCGGTTTATTTAAAAAATTATTTAATAAAAATGAAATTAAGCGAGTTTGAAATGACAGATATTGAAAGTATTCTTATGTCTCGTGAAAATGAGGACTTGATTTTTCAGAGGTTATCTGAAATGATGGTAGAATCTCGGACTAAAGCACAAACATTAATAACTCAGTATGTCAATAAACAAAAAGGTAAATTTAATTAATTATTATGACAATTAATTTAGCAGATATTTAATAATTTTTGTAACAAATAAATTGCGGCAAAAAAAATTGTCATGTAAAAATTAAAAATGCAATTTTTTTTAAATAATTTTTTGGAACAAATTTGTTTGTTAAAAAAGACCATTCGGCAGCCAAAATGGAAGTAGATTTCATCATGAATAGAAAAAAAATATAACGATAATTGTATACAAAACTAGGGTTTTTAACTTCTATGCAATCGACAAAAATATATATCGACGGAAGAATTTTAAAACCAGTGCAATAGCAAATTTCATAATTCGCATATCGGAATAGGACATAATTTTAAGTCTACACATATGATATGGTATTCAAATTGAAGCTTATTTAAAGAGCTTTCAGATGCACGTTACAGAATTTCAATAAGTTATCCCATTCAAAAGGTATTCGAGTAAGAAAGTGAAGAAATTTAAATTTTTATGATTTTCAAAATTTTGAAATCCTGGTATTTCTAAATTACTTGACCGATTAAGCTCATTTTCGAACTTGACTTTGGTATTTATCTGTAGAATAAGTATGTTGAGTTTGGTAGAGATCCGTTGTAAACGCGACGCTATCGTCGTGACAAGCCGCGTTATATCCGATATATATACATTTTATATATATTACATACATATATAAACTTTTGAACCATATGCATTTTCCGACTCAGCTCGACGAGTATAGTTGAAATATAGCAAAATCTTTTGAAAGTTCTGTCATGAGGACCAATGCAATAGTTAGATTTCTATGAAATCTACTAAAAATTATCAAGTGACTGCTAAATTAAATGTCATTTAATTATTTAAAAATCAAAAATTATAAAATTGTTTATGAAAATTAAGTTAGCCGACATTTAAAAAATTTTAAGATTTTTTTTCATTAAAAAAATGATTACAAAAAAATAAAAAAAAATTTCATTTGTAAAAAAATTATAAAACTGTAAGTGCAATTTTTAAAAAATATTTTTTTATTCTAATTTAATTATTAAAAAAAAAATTTTTAATTTAAAAACGTCGGCTAACTTTAGTAGGTATTATAAATTTTTTTTTTTTTAAATAAATAAATTATTTATGTTGAAAAATTTATTTCCAGCAATACAAAACAAAATAAAAACAAACCATGAAACTATCAATCAACTCCAGCACCAGAGCAAAGACCAAGAGCGCCAATTGCAGGAATGGGCTCTTGAGCAAAAAGTTTTGCAGAAAAAAATTAGCAATAACAATAAATCAATTGATCAGCTGAAAGAAGAAATCGCGCTTGAGAAAAATAAAAAAGAAGAACTGACACTCAAATTAGTTGATTTGGAAACTGGTAATTTATTTTTTTATAATTTCAGCCTTCATTTAATTGTTATTATTCTATATGATTCTAATGAATAAATATTTTTTAATTCAGATCAAGAAAGATTAAAAAATGAAAAAATAAAAAACTATGATGCTTTGAAAAGAGCTCTTGGGTTGTACAAGGAGAAATTAAACATACATTTCATGGTTGAAATTCTCAAGGACTTTGATCGTGTTAAGATAACTTATTTCCAGAAGGAAAATCCCAAAAAAGATTATTATTGTATTCAACTTCTTAATTATAATAATATTATCTGGAAAGGTAATAAGAATTATATTCTTATTTATCTATTTAATTGTTAATATATTATATTGAATTAATATAATTTTTTAGTTGAGTCAATAGTACCGGAGCTAGACAGCAAACACTTGGAATATCTGAACTTGGATTTCACCAAAGATTACGAGATCCTGGAAATAAATAAATTAATTCCAAAATTACGTCATCTCTTTGTGGAGCATTATTTGAGTCCCTGAGTAATTATTACTCTTCAATTATTACTTAACTGTTATATTAGCAAGATCTTTTGTGTACGAGGCCACTGTAAGTAATAAATAAACAAAGTATTTTTTTCTTAATAAAAATCAAAATAAAATTAAGGTTTATTATCAATGAAAGTAACTACTTTAGTACTTAAATTTTTATCCGCATTTTAGTATGATTGGTTTAATATTATCTATTATTAAATAGAAAAAATCAATTGGTTTGTTTTAAATTGATGCCGTCATCTGTAAATTGAATTTAGTCTCAATTGAAAATCAATTAGTAATTGCATTTATCTAGTTTTTTCTGGTTTTTTTTTTTTTCAAGTCGTAATAATTTTTATGATTTTCTTCGTTGAGATAATTAGGTAGATTTCTTTAGAAATCTATCTATTGTAGCCGGTCCCATGTCATAATTTTAAGAAAATTTTGTCATAATATGTTTCATTTCATCGTTATTTTTTCAAAGTTGGTTACTTTTTTTTTATTTTTTTTTCTCAAAAAAAACATCAATCAATTTGACTATTCCCGCTCATCCCGGGCAGGGCCGATTTTTTAAAAATTTTTTTTATTTAATTGAAAAAAAATTGTCAAATTTTCTAAAATAAAAAAAAATTTTTGCTCAAAAAAACCGATCATTTTATAGAATTGATCATATTTAATTTTTTTTGTGTATTTTTTCGAAAAGTTCATTCAAAAACAAAAATTTAAAAAAAAAAAATAGGTACTCAAAAGTCAATGTCTAAAAAAGTTATGGCAATTTGAAAATAAAAAAGCCATTTTTTTGGGAAATTCATAACTTTTTTAAGTTGGATGAAAAAGTTTGAAAAAATTCTCAAAAATGTTTTTCAAAGGGTAGAAAAGAATGATAAAGTTTCAGCTAAATCTAAAGGAGTCGAGTTCAAAAGTGGTTGATTCGGTATGGATACCCCATATCGACGTTCTAATTAGCAAATTGTTTAACTCCATTTTAGAGAATCTTCCATTTGTACGAAAAAAACAATTAGTTCAAAATTTATTATCACTTTAAAAAACCATTTAATATCATTAATATCTAATACAGGTTTAATATTTTAGTTTAAATCATTTAAATAATTTATAGTTGGACTATTACTACATCAAAATGTTAAAAAATCACCCTCGAAAAAAATAAGAAGTTAGACAAATTGCTAATTAAACCATTGATATATATGTGATAAAACCCTCCATGTCAGCAGGATTGCGCTCATAGTTCTCAACCGATTTTTATGAAATTTTATGGGCTCATTATGTGGATCAATACTAAGATCAAGTTCGAAGATGAGCAAAATCGGCCGGTTAGTTTACGAGTTGTGGGTGTTTGAAAATTTTTTTCCTTTTCAAAAAATTTTGAATTTCGTATATTTTGTGAAAATAATTCTCAGATGTAGAAGATAAATAAAATCTATCAAATTTATCTTAAAGTTCATTTAATTACCGTCAATTCAGACTATCATTTGTCTAGTTTCGATGATTTTTTCAAATAATTCCGTGATTTTGAAAATTTTTCAATAAACGTATTTTGGCCCTTTTTCTTCAAATAATTTTTAAGCATTAAAAAATGGCTTAAGTCTATCAAATTTATTTAAAAATTCATATAGTTATCTTCAACTTGAGCTATTATTCGTCGCCTTTCGATACTTTTTTCAATTTATTTCGTAGTTGGGAAAATGAAAAAAAAAATCATTTTTAGCTATCGTCAAATAAATTTCATATGTTGCAATTCCTATTTTTTAAATAGTGTTTTTGTCAAAATTCAAACAAGAAATCTACCTAACCATGTCGGGTGTGGCCGAATGGCCCTTTTTTTATTTTATTCCCAAATCAGAAAAATTATTTATGGTTTAATGTTACAAAAAAAAATATTATTATTTTTATATATACATATGGATGTTAATATATGCGTCAATAAGAATAGTCGATTGGCAAAAGTCAAATGATAGGTCAATGAGTCGCCCACATCGAATTAGTCATTTGTAAATGCCACGAGTAAGTAGTACAATTTAACAAATTTTATTCACTTTATTGACCCCTGTATATAATAGTAATAATAATAATCGTTAAAATAACAATAATAACGATAAGTTTAATTATATTAGGAGTTAAATTAATAGTAAATTAGATTTAAAGTATTTACCGATAAAAAACTGTAAATAACTTAATAATAATTGTTATTTATTGAATTTTTATTTTATTATAACAATTTGTAAGTCAAAAAATATTACATTTATTTAAATTTTTATTACAATTATATTAATAATAATAATAATTGATAAAATAATATACTGATTGATTATAAACTAAATTAATGAATAAATTTAAAATCTATATAATTGTTATATTAATAATTAATTTTAATAATCAGCTCATTATACTTTTAAATGGATTTATATTTATTAAAATGGCAGCTAATTTAAAATGTTTGGTCTCGTAGTTAAAGAACAATATTAATGAAAACTATTTACAATGCATACAATGCCTACAATTAAATGATGATAATAATTAATTTATTTATTTATTTATTTATTTATTAGTTTAAGTTAATCTAGAGTCTCAAGTCTTAAGACAATTTAATTACGTGGTTTTAACAATAATATATTACTATTTATGATCAACGATATTAATCTCAATAGTCATTGTTAATAAACCTTATTTAAACTAAAGCAAATAATTAGTTTATTAAATATTTATTATTAATAATAATTAATAACTTCTAAATATTAGTAATACAAATTTATCCGCGGGTTCTCAAAAATATTCCGAATTATTTTTATTCAAAAAAAACAAACTCAATTTAATCTAATCATTTTTCAGTGACTCAGTTGTGAAAAAAAATTTTTTTTTAAATCTTTAATCTATTTTTTATCACGGGACACTTATTATCTGTTAACCTTTTAGTTTGTTTAGCTGTTATTTTCAATATTATTATCATTATTATTAATATCAATATTAACATTATTATTATTATTATTATTATTATTATAATTATAATTATTATTATTATTATTATAAATTGTTTACAACTAATTATTGCTCGAGTGTCGCAGCGAATGAAATATTAGCGGAGGTATCGGCAACGGCGATCGCTGGGGCGTAGAACAAATCCGAGGAGGGCTGGATCGGTACAAAAGACGTCGCCTCGGTAACGGGGGTTTCCACTGTTGTGGGACATTGCTTGGCCGTTCCGTACACTTTTGCGTAATTTACCTCCAATGCGACCGTCAGGTCCACTAATGCTGCGTCGCACAGTACCGGGTTGTCTAATAAAACAGATTAACTAATTAATTACAGATGACTAACAAATTGTCAACATGTAATCCCAGACTAAACAAAGTAGCAAGCTAATTAATCAACGGCGCCGTCTAATCTCTCGCAAATAATATCAAAAGTTTATTTTATTATCGTTTTTTTTTCTTATCTTACTATTTACTACATTCCATACGCTTATTATGAAATTGATAAATAAATAAATAAATAGGTTACCTTGGAGATATATTCGTAGAATATCAGGAACACCGTGGACTGTACAACGTGTATTCGCGACTAATTCCGCGGTTAACGACCGAATAGCGTTCATTGTTAGGTCCGCGGAACAAAGAATTGGAAAACCGCGGAAGTCCCGGTCTGATAAGGTTACTAGTCTGTTATGTGATGCTATTAACTCTTCAAGGGCTGGTAATCTTGCCTGAAAATAAAATTAAATTTTTAATTAATTTTAAGATTATTTTTTAAATAAATTCTAAAATTATTTTTTGAATAAATTTTAAAATAAATTTTAAAATTATTTTTTAAATAAATTTTAAAATTATTTTTTAAATAAATTATAAAATTATTAAAAAAAAAAAAAAAAATACAACTTACTTCAGAAATATCGTCAAGAGTTGTAAGTTTATTATGTGACAAATCTAAATTACGTAAATTTTCAAGCCCACGGAATTTTTGTGAGCCAATTGTTGGACCTAAAGCATTGTGACTTAAGTTTAATCTTTGCAATTCTCGCATTCCAACAAACAATGAATCTTCCAAAGTTTGAAGTTTGTTGTTTTGTAAACGAAGCTCTTGAATACTTGCGCCAGGTATTTCTTCTCCATCTTCGTCAACCAAGTTCTGTAATAAATATAAATATTTCAGTAGAATAATTATATTTATTAATTTAAAGAAAATTGTTACAAGTGACTTACTTCAATAGGACCCCGATAAACGCGCGCGATTTGATTGCTGGACAGATCAATAAGACGAAGTTCCTTGAGTCCGCGAAGCGAGACAAAGGAGAATTCGGTGAGCTCATTGTGCGTCAAATTGAGACTCTTGAGAGACCTGAGGGGCCACAGAGCGCTTTTGCTGCCGTTTCCATCTCCGTTACCGTTAGTGTCGCCTCCGAGCGACTTTAGGGAATTGTGACCCAGTTCAAGGTCCTCCAGGAGCTCGGCCTCGACAAAGTCCTCAGCCGTGAGCTGTAAGATTAAGATTGAGACGAAATTAGTCGTGTAATTTGTTATTTAAGAAACCGGACGTCGATCTTTATAATAATGTCTTGGGTAATTGGTTGAAATGAATATTTAAAATATGAATAATTTGTTTAATAATATAATTAAATAATAAATTACTTGAAGAATTAATGTATCCTAATTTTGGAGGAAATATTACTGACTTAGTTCTTACTTCTTGTAGCTCGTTGTAAGATAGCTCCAAGTATTTAAGGTTTGACGCTTTTTGAAGCGTACCATCTAGGCTACGTATTTTGTTGTGCTGAAGGAATAACATTTCTAGCCGATGTAGTTGACGAAATTCCGGCGGTAGATGAGTCAATTTATTTTCCATGGCGTGTAACATGCGTAAGTTATGGCCTGACGTGGGTAATTCCCCGTCGAGAGACGTTAGTTCGTTGGAATTTATAAACAACCATTCCAATTGATTTAGATCACTGAAAAAAAATAGATTGGGAATGATTATTAAAGTTATTTATATTTTTGTTTTTACGGAATTCACTGCTCTAGATTTATTTGGAATTTTTATTAACTCTAAAAATACGCGGATATATGTTACTATATTTATTTTAGGAAAATATCATACTGATGATTCAGGAGAAGATAAATGATTAATTGTTTCTTAAATGACGTACGTCGCTGACAATTATTTTATTAAAATTTTTATTTGATAAACATTTCTTCCGGTTTTATTTATTTACAAGGTCACTATTATTCTACCAAATTATTATTATTATTATTATTATTATTATTATTATTATTATTATTATTGTTTTTAGAACAAAAATTTTTATGATAAATATTTAAAATAATTTATTTAATATAAAACTTACCAAAGTGTACGATTTAATGTACGTAAATAATTTCTTCCAACATGTAATTTATTTATTCTGGGTGGTAACGATCCAGGTATCATTTCAGTTATTGGATTACCGGCCAACAACAATTGCTGCAATGACGGATTGTACTGTAAACGAAAATGAAAACTGAGTTAACAGTAAACTTGATATATAAATATATATCTTAAGTAACAAACTAAATAAATAAATGCAGCGTGATTGAGAAAAATTGTAAACACGCCGATAAAGAAAAAATAAAATAATGAATATAAGATAATTCTATTGAGCACATGGCTGTAGCGTGATGATGTTTGGTCACGTGTAAAAATAATTACAAACAACTACATTCATCATTAGCTTTCATTAAATAAAACCACTTGCTCATTGACATACTCGGATTGTTATTTTATTTACGGATAATGGTAATAGCTTCAGACAGTTATTTATTTTTACAATAATAATAATAATTATTATTTTTATTTTGTAGTAAAGAAAAATATGTTTATCAATTTTTCTCAGTCTGAGATTACTCTATCGTAAACAAATAAAGAGCTCACTTATTTGTTTAGTTATAGGTATATATACTGCTAAATAAAATATTTGTAAACGATATGATATAATGATATTAAATGTATAATAATATTTATATACCTTGAAGTCATTGACATCGATCCGAGTTATCCGATTCCTACTGAGATCTAGTGTTATCAGCAGGGGTAAGTGCGACAATATATGTCGTGGTATCGATGGGATTTCATTGTCTGCTAAATTTAAATACATTGTTCTACTTAAACCAGCAAATACTTCTCCGTCTATATTACTGAAAATTAATTTTATAAATTTATTTTTTATTACTAAAAATATTTTTCAAATTAATTAAAAACAGTCATTTTTTTTTTACCATTTATTATCATAAAATTTTATTAAAAAATTATTGATAAATTTTTGCACACCTCAAAAATCACTCAAATTTACCAAAATTAGATCATTAAATTTTTATGAGCCATTAAAAATTATCTAATAGAAAGTTTCAGTTAAAAATAAAAAAAATTACATTTACTCGGTAATTAAAATCGCCTTATCTCTAATCGACACCCACGTGAAATTAATAAAAACCAAAAATAAACTTTAATACTCAAAAATTATTAAATTAAATAAATAAAAAAAAATTAATCTCCGATAAGCAACAATTCAAGTAATCTATAAAGCTGTCATTATCGAGGGGTTATTAATAATTAATTACAAAGTTAATAAAATTTAATAATATACCAGGTCGATGCAATTTATTATTTAATTACTCTCAGTGATAAACGCTAAGGATACACACGAGCACAGACGATTAAATATTTCACATTGCTCCTCTCCGCCAAGGAGGTCAATACAACTCCGGAGTTATCTCGTATTTATTTATTTACTTATTAAAACTTCATCTCGGATGATGCGATCGATCATCACCCGAAATATTTAGTCTTCTCTAACCAACGCAATATTATAATGTTCACCTCGAGGAAAAGTTGACAATAAACTGGTATCGAGAATGAATCACCGATTACCCTAAAAATAATAAAATAGTAGGAGTAAAAATAATTTTGTTTCGACACTTCTGGCGCCTTTGTTGTTATCTCCCTTCATGAATTCCCACTTGTAAGAAATAATCGATCAATCTCAACTCGGTGTGGCATTAAAAGCTATCACGGGTCACCCGCCATGTGCATTTCGTCGTTTTTTAGCTTCTTATTTTATTTATTACATTTGTATTTGTTATTCCGCCTGTTTTCTGTAAAACAACTTTATCGGATCGCGGGACAAGTAGTTACGCTCTGATTTGGTCAGACAATAGTAAACCCACGTGCTCACCCTTTCATTATTTTATCGATTCAATAATTAAAGTTCTCTCAACTATTATATTCACTACGTTCTTCTTCTCTTCTGCTTCTTCTTGTCCAACAACTGTTGACCCGGGTCGTGGAATTTTTTAAACCCGATTACGACGCGATAGTACACTTTTTTTATTTTTATTTTTAGTTAAAAGATACGCTCAGTCCACAGAAAAAAATTCGTTTTACCACGTGCTTCAAGAAGTATGCTAAAATTTTATCTTATTATAAATATGTTTTGATTTTTATAAAAATATTTTTTTTTTATTATTTAAATAATCATAAAAAATCGAATTTTTTTTTATTTATTTTATTATTATAAATTAAAATTAATAAAATATTCCTTTTTTTTTTTTACTTTAAAAAATTGTAAAAATAAATTTTTTTTTCTTTTTAAACGTCAAAATTAAAAAAGTTTTTGAAAAAAAAAATTACGACAATAATAAATTTTTTCAATTATTAAACTGCAAAAAATTGAATTATAAAATAAATTTTTCGATTTTCAATGTCAAAAAAAAAAAAAAAAAAATTAAAGCCCCACTTGTCTAAAATAGCCAATAAAAAAATTTGCTGAAGCAATTAAAACGAAAAAAAAATAACAAAAAGTACCTCAGGTGATCATAGTTGAGCTCGAGTCTCGAAATAGACATCTGTAGTTCCTTGAAGTCGTGCCTGGAGATATCCTTGAGCTGTGAGTGTGATATTTTGAGTACGATCTGCTGGCCGGGGGTGAATTTGCCGCGTAGGGCGTCCGCGACCTGTCCAAAGGACTCCATTTTTTCACACATAACCGAGATTTTCTCCCCATACTTGGGAGGCTTAGCAGCACCACTACCACCAGAACCAGAATTAGAATTAGAGTCACCACCACCACCACCCCCTCCCCCTCCCCCGTCGCCCACGGTGCGAGTGGAAAGACTGGTTAAAACAGCAACACCTTGGGGGACGATCGTCGGGGCCTCGGAGACACTGCTGGAGGATGTCACGATCCCCGTCGGGGGTGAATACTTTTCCTGTCTACAAGTGCAGGGACTTATTTCGCGTCTGACCGCACAATGAAGACTCGCGCTCGCTGCGAGACCGAGCAGTGTGTATAGTAGTCCCGACATTGTGTTGCGATTGACCAGCAGCCAGGAACGCGCCGACTCTTCTAATCACCATCCAAATACCCCACTCGGCAATCCGATCCGGGACAGACCATGCGCGTACTAAGATTCTTACTCTTACTCTTGCTCTTCCTTCTTATTCTTAGTCTTAATCTTAATCTTGGACTTGGATCTATTCCTCCTCTTCCTCTTACTGATTATTATTTCTTACGATAATATTTATTTGTCCCACTCCTCTATTTGCCACTTTTACGCTCAATTACTTTAACCCTCACTTGTCAAAAAAATATTTTTTTTTTTTTTTTTTTCTGGACCCAATAGAGCGAACAATGCAACGGCGACAACACTCGGACTTGGACTGCCGACTGACTTGACTTAATACATTAACTTGAATAAGTAACAACCACGAGAAACGTCCTTCGTAACTCCCCCCTCAACTACGGCTCATAATCAATCACTCCTCCCTCTTCGCTCTTTAATATCGTGCTAGTACATCTACACTATTTTAAAAGACCCAATAACTATACTAATAGTCTAATAGTTACTTTTATCGCTTAACAATAATCTCCTCGAAATGTCAGTTACAGTTTACACGACGTCGATCTTGCTAATCTTATTAATATATATGTATATATACATATAAGTTGTCAGGATTTCACTTTTATAAACCCTTACTTTCTGTCACAGATGTTACACTTTAGTGGCTTACATTTTATTTATATTGACTTTTATTATTTGATATAATTTATTTTATTTTAATTAATTTATTTTTTTTTTTAAATTTTTAATAACAAAGTATCCTTTAATTTTTATTATTATTATTTTATACTTGAAAAAAATATTAAAAATTTTTTTTTAATCAAAATTCTATAATTTATAAAAAAAAAAAATAATTTAAGCTCAAAAATTTTGTTTAAATTTTTCACTTTTAAAAATATTTATTATTTTATTCAAAATATTTTTTATTTAAATTACTTAAAATTTTGTTGTAAAAAAAAATTATTTGAGATTTAAAAAAAAAAGAAAAGTAGATGTTAACACAACAAAATTCACAGTAACTATCGAATCTGAGCGAGTCTTACCGGGTATTTTATAGCCAGTGTAACGTCCCCCTACGCAGACTCAACATTTAATGACGGATATTTTAGATAAATGACACATTCATAACTCGCGAGCAATATTAATTACCTTATAAATCGAGCGAGTCAATGTTAAGCGGTATCTAAAAAAAAAAAAAAAAAAAAAAAAAATAGAAAGTAGAATCTCTTTAGGTGAATTGACTTGTACATCCAACAGTAATCGTAAGCGTAATTGTAATTGGCGTATGTGGGAGTTTTTAGAGTTTGAGTAATCCGCGAGGGTGCTGTAGCTAAAGTACGGCTTCGGGTTAATCTCATTAATTGTAATTTGATTGTATTTTTATTTATTTAGATAGAGATATATTACAAAGAGAGTTCTACTGTAGAGTTGAATAATTTAAATATAAAACGAGATGTGCAAGATCACGTCAGCAGCGACACATTCCAGGGACGTTTGTCGTGTCGTCCACCTTTCGACTGACAAAAAGTCATTAAATTTTATTCAATTCATTTTCATTTTAATTTTAATTTTTTTTTTTTTTTTTAACTAAACGCGACTCGGTTTAGTTTTTTAAAATTCCGGACATGACAGAATCTCCGAATCAGGAGATAGCCTGAGACGGAATCTCGGAAACTCGGACCCGAAATAAATAATCTCTGGTTTTTTTGATTTTTTTGGTCCGAGCGCGGGCCTCTCTCCTCTCGAGCCCACGTGACGTTGGCTCTCTTTGTCAAAACAAAAACAAATGTCAAAGATAAATAAGAATTAGGGGACAAGTAACTAAATAAATAGAAAAAAAGATAAACTAAAAAAAATAACTCATGTGCTCAGCTCAAGTTGAGAGTGTGCTGCATTCCTTGGTACAGAGACTCGTTGCGGCATTCCAGGGACGCCCGATGGTTCGTCCACCTCAACGAGGAAGATCAGCGTATTATTATCACTTTTTTCGGTCAATAAACATTTATTTTACTATTGCAAATTATTTTTTTTGCAAATTTATTTTTTTTTAAGCTTTAAAAATTTTTTCTACTAAATCAATTCAATTTTTTAGACTATTAGAAAGATTTATTAATTTTTAATGAGCTTTATTAATTTTTTTTTTAATTAAATTAATCTATCGGCATTTATAAATTTTTGTTAGTTAATAATAAAAATTTATTTGAATTTTTTAATTAATTTAAATGTTAGTGTCAAAATTATTTTTAGACTTAAAAAAAAAAAAAAATTCCATCAGATCTGCAAAATTATTAATAATTTTTCTATAAAAAATTAATTTTGAATAAATATAATTCTGCAAAAAAAATATTTATAAAAATTTTTTTATCGATGTAATCAACAGTACAAATAATTATATTAATTATTAATTAAAGAAGATTTTTTACCACATACACGTAAAGAATAAAACTGTCAGGTAGAGAGTTTTGTATGCAGGAAGTGATTCAGTCTCCTGGTGAGAATCGGCTGGCGCCTGTGGTAGTATAGGAGCTGTTGCGATTTATTACAACAAAACCGGAGTCCGGAGTTGATAATAATTGAAAATAAAAATGTAAAATAAGTAAGAGGCTAGCAAGTAGCTCTTAGAGGCGCCAGGGATTATTCGGAATCGTAATAAAAAGGTTACGATGTAGATAATACGTATAGAAGAAAAGAAGATAAATAAATAAATTAGCTGGATGCTGGATCGGATGGAGTCACGCAGATATTAATAATAACATATCTGTCTCGATTAATACTCCTCGAAGATTTAGTTTTTCCATTAATAACACAGACAGATAGAGGAACAGCCACAGAGGAGGATTGTCGGTCGGCTGAGTGGTAATAAATATTTGAATACAAATATTTAAATAGTCGGCTGGAGATGCGGGCTCGTGGTTCCTAACTTATCCAATGAGGGTTGTCTTAATTTCATTATTTTTATACTGTTAAACATAAATAATACATTTTTTATTGAAGTTATCGTTAGTTGAGATTTTTTGCCAAGCTGGGAGGAGGAGGGTGGGCGCGTGTCGTCGCGGGTACCGTCTACGTTCGTTACGCGCGATCGTCCGCGAGGCGCCCAGTAATAAGTATAAGTGAAGTACACTTTACATTAATAGTAGTGTGCGTTGGCGCCAGGCTGCATTCTCCCGTTTACATTTACATTTGTCGTCTTAAACATTTTATGTTAACATTAATTCACCAATACTAACCAATACACATATATATTTATCTCTTGAGATTTATCGCGGTACTTCATAACAAATTTAAATGCTCAATTTTACTTACCGATTTTACTCAATGCATTTATTTTTATTTATTACATTATGGTTTAAAAAATCAAATTTTTCATTAAATTAATTTTATTTAAAAAAAATTTTAACTGAAAAAATTATTTTCAAGAATTTAATTGGTTTGAATCAAGCAAGACTGTTTTTTTAATTAAATTAATTTTTTTTTTATATAAAATTACATTTTTCTCAGTGTAAGTAATTTAAAAATTTTTTTATAAGTAATAATTTTTCTTTATTATAAATTATAAATAAATAAAGGAATAATTTTAATTAAGGCTGTTGCTAGTCATACGATTGTTGTATGAATAATAAATAATTACTTGTCCGACAATTTTTATATTAATGAAAAATGACACTGAAATTAGCAGACGTCTAAAAATTTTTAATTTGTTTTATTAATTAAATTACAACTAAAAAGATATTTCTAAAAAATATCGCACTTATAGTTTTAAATATTTCTAAAAAATATTGCACTTATAGTTTTTCAAGTTTTTAACATGTGAAATTTTTTTTTTTAATTGCTTAATTGAAATTTTTTAAATAAAAAATTTCTAAAAAATTTGAAATGTCTGCTAACTTCATTTTCATTAATGAAAATAGAGTCAATTTTATATTAAAACAATAAAGAAAATATAATTCATAACAATGTACTCTGTGTAAAATCAATAATTTATAAATTATTAGTTTAGTTATTATTCAATGAGCGAATTTATTTTAAAAATTGTCAGAAAAATAAATAATAGTTATTCATACGATAATAGTATTATTTTGAAAAAAATGATCATCTGACATTCGGATGAATAGACACTTCAATTGAATTAAATAAAAATTATTTTTCAAGAAAATATTTTTTTCTCAGTATAGAATTAATTAAAAAAAAAATTCCAAGTTTAAATTAATTTTATTTTTTTTAAAAACTTTTTTAATTTTTATAAAAAAGAAAATCCTCACTTTATTCTTTAAAAAATTTTAAGACTTTGAAGGGAAGAAACCACAATAATAAAATTCACGGAAGTTTAATTTTATCAAAGTTTAACAATCCTTAAAAAAAAAAAAAAATTGAACACCCATAAAAACAAAAACAGTTTAATTAAATGTAGTACAAATTATTGGCGCCATAAAGTCCCGGGTTACATTATCTATACCTCGGTATCTTCTCCACTCGAAGTTCAGACATCGAGGGTTAATATATGGGGCATTCCATGCCAAATCGACCACTTTTGACACCGACCCTTTTCGATTTTTCTGAAATTTTGGTATCTTTCTCTACCCTATTGAAAACAATTTTCAGAATTTTTTCAAATTTTTTTACCCAACCAAAAAAAAGTTACGAGTTATTACAAAAAAATAGCTTTTTTTTTGTTAAATAATTATAACTTTTTTGAAAATTGACTTTTTGAGATGTTTTTTTTTTT